TGAACTGCATGGACTTGCTACTGCGCGCGATTCCGTATGTTACCTTTGCCCAGGTTGTGGGGTTTTCACCAAAGGCAGCAGCAGATTCCTCACTGTCAAAGGATGACTTGCCTTTTGAAGACCAATACAATGCTGCCATCATCGAAGTCTTGCAAAGGCTCGGATACACAGCTGATTCGTCCCACAACAAAGAAGTGGGCAAGGTGGACATCTTTGTGAACATTGACAACAGGACCTTTGGTGTGGAATGTATCATGGCAAAGCGTGGCCCGACAGACCACAAAAAGCACCGGGGACGCTTTGACACTTCGCTGTATGCGTACAGCAACGCCGACCACAAGGCACTAGTCACGATTGGAAGCAGCAAATCTCGGGTGCGAGAGCGCGGCGCGGGCGTTTTGGAAAACGCAAAAAATGGATACGAGATCATCGGACTTGGTGCCCAAATATACGCGCACACACTGGCCTCTAATCAATCGTACCGAGGTTGGGTGCCAAGATCTGTCGACTCGGCTTTTGGAAAAATACTAACTGCGTTTTGAAATTTGAGCTTCCATTGCCACCCCAAGGCTGCCACTGACAATGAAGACGCAATGTAAGGAAATGAGGTAAAACAAATTGAATCTGTCCCTGGAAGGTGCCCAAGCTGCAGCGGGTGGCGGATATTGGTTGGAAGTACTATGTTTAGTGCGGACCTCGTGGCACGCGCGTTGACCCAACAAACGAGATCCGTTGCATCAGAAGGGTTTGCACATCAACAAACCTGCGCAACCTCCAGGCAACATTTTCGTTTGCGCCGGCGCAACAATTTGTTGCTTCATTCACTGTAGGGTTTCCGCCTAGAAGACACATCTTTGAATCTTTTCAGCGAAGTGGAAACTTGTCAGAGCGCATGGGTGAGATTGTTTGATCACGGTCAATGGGCGCTAGACTTTTTCATACAGCAAAACATGTGTCTGATTGCTAGACTGGCCTTCCTGTGTAAGGCAGCACTTATCACGTTGCTTAGATTGCCGCCTGCAAGGCAGTGCTGTCTCCCAACCACCCGCTGCGGTGTGGGTCCGTCAGCTGAACAGCATTGCCCGCGCCTTACCAGTCTTGCCTGCCCTGCGTTCATGTTCAAGATAAGCTGTCAATTTGTCGACTTCCTTCTCAGAAGATCCAACACGCTCACCGTGACCAACACCTCCGACTTCTCGGACGATCTCTTCCTGACGAAGAACTGGGCGGGCTGGAGCAAGCTGCAAGTGTCCAACAACAGCGCGGCCCCCGACAGCGGCCCGGAGCTGCGGCTGCTGGGCAACCAGGGCGCGCGGGTCTTCCTGGAAATCGTAGGCGTTTGTGGAGCCATCGGTTACACGGATGGATGTGAACTGGATTGTTTGCTGTGAGGACGGCAAGGAGCCTGAGATCATTGGCAGCGCGTTCAAAATCACTACAAGAGTTTCAGATGTCCCCACCTCAGCTGCGCCACTTTGCGAACGACCTAAACCTTTGTTTTGCCTTCGGAAGTGCTGCTGCATGCTTCGCGGGGAGGTGGATGATCTGAAAGAAGCCCTGCGCTCAGAAGCGATTTGCTTTGGCTCCTTGTCCGTTTTGGTTTCAGACCGTTGTCATACTCTGAGAGCTTGAGGCTGTTGAGAAGAAGGAGAAGCTGACGATTGCTGCATCCAAGATCGACATTTTCAGCCGGAAGGAGAGCTTTGCATGTCAAAGCGCACCCCCATTTGTTCCATTCCCCACACCTCACCCCTTGCCGTCTCTCAGCTGGACTTTGCAGGATGGCCGCTGGCTCAAAGAAGATGAAGATTCAGCAGTCAATCGTGGCACATCCAAGCCCATCACTTGGTTCCGATGCCTTTCAACTTTGGGTTGTGCCGTCGCCCAGCTGTCAGGGCAGACTGCTACGGATTCACGTTGCCAGCTGGAGCTGCTGGAGCCACATAGTTTGAGGCACCTGCCTCAGCGCAGCAGTGCTCTACACTTTTGAACTTGCATTGTTGCCAGGCTACTGCTGGCTGTGGTCACTGTTCTCGGCTGAGGCAATGCTGGCCCACAACGTTTCACCTCGTACAGGAACAAAAAAGTGCAGTCGCAGGCACAGTTGTTTCGTTGCAGTGCGACTTTGCTTGACTCTAGAAGGGTAAGGGAGGTAAATGTTCACACTTTTGAACATCAGGCTGCGGTGTTCAAGTCAAGCAGGGAATGCCTGCAACAGGTACAGGACCAGCAACAGTTGCCGGCGCTGGTCAACAGCTGTTTCACCGAGGCATTCCTCCCTGTGCCAAAGTGCGCGGATGCAGTACCGAGCCATTTGAAGAAGTGTGGAGGAAAGGATTGCTCTCGTGGCCAGTTTGATCTCTTTGAGGCAACTTATGCACAAGTGTTTGATGCTATTTGAGCATGGCGCTCAGAGAAGTTGAGCAGCAGCGGACAAGAAATCACGCCTACCAGCGCCAGTGCTAGAGAGCATCATTGCAGAACGCGGACCAACAGCATGGGAGAAACGCATGGAACGACAATGTCGCTACTCCCAGGAATGGCGGTAGCGTGTCATGAAGCGCCAACGGCTGAACCATTTCACCAGCTAGGTTCTCTCTCTCGGCTTTCTTGGAGCAAGGAGAAAGGCGGGTGTTACGATGAAGAACCATGTGATTGTCACGGCTGACGCGTTCGCTAGAGTGGGGGCAGCCGCAGCGAATGCAAGTTTGGCAGAGTACCCCATGAGAGCCATGAAGTATTTTCAGACATCATTTGGTGCTGTTCCATTCTTGGAGGTGGCGATGTCACAGCTCATGCTGAGCAGTTGGTCAACAAGCTCCCGCAGCGTGGTTTGGACCAATCAAGTCAGACCTCCAATCATTCCTCGCATTGCATTAGTACAGCAGCCAATTACGGATACTGCATTTGAGCAACTTATGATGGCTGTTTTGAAGGACAGCACACCTAATGGTTGCTCAGTGGTGCAGGCAGAACCCGGAATCGGGAAATGGTGAGGTTGCCCCCCAAAACAATGGGGTTGTCTCCAAAACAATGAGGTTTTTTAGTCTCCGAACTCCTTGCATGTCGTGCATCCTTTGCGTTCGCACGCGCATTTTGTTGCAATGCAGAGCGAACTGTGCAATCCTTTTGCCAGGCTATTTGTGCTTGTTGTGCGGCATATTTTGCTGTTGGCTTCCTGTATTAAGCCGGGTAGTTGCTTTCCTGTGATACGAGATAAGACCATCCTCATTGCCTCCACTGCTTTGTTTTCATATTTTCCCTCGGCTGGGCTCCCCCTCAGCGGGCAAAAGTGCATCCAAAGACTGGTGGCCTTTTGGTGTGGGGTTTGCCTTGTTTGGGGACGGGTCCTGTTTTCGATTTTATGGCTATGGGTTTCGATTTTATGGCCTGGTCCTGGGGTCCGGGAAGCAGAAAGCGGGTTGAATAATAAAGACAAGTGATCAAGGTTCCTCCGCCGTTGGTCCCAAGGTTGAGAACAACAGAACAGTTCAGAGCCATCGAATGTTGAAAACAGTTCCGAAGCATCAGCCATCCACACATCGGAATTTTGATATGTACCAGAATATATCTGCAAATTGCCTAGCCTCATGGCTTGCAAACGAAGCGCCTCAGCTCGCTGCGGGCGCCTTGCGGTCATTTGTGCTTTGCTCTTGCTCTTCGGCTTCCACTGCGTGACCTTCAACATCCCAAAGCGCATGCGGGAAGTTGCCCAAGACAAGGGCATCAGTGCAATTGAATATTTGCAAGGGGTCAGCGCGGCTGCAGAGGCTTACAGAAAGAGCAACCAGATCGCTGGACGAACTGACTTCATCGAAGCACTGCAGCAGGCCTGAGCTCCTTGTTTTTGCGTACAAAGTAGGCTTGTGTTGTTTAGTGTGAGAATTGGTGTCCCTCTCGCAAAACCCTGGTCAGTCTATGCGAGAATCAGGCTTGCACCTTCTCATTGGAGGCAAGTCCCTTGGCAAGACTAATATTCTGCGAAAGGTGGTTGAGGCTGTTGGCAATGACTCTCCGTTGCTCTACATCAACATGCGCCTTCCACCCAAGCCTGAGTCAACGGATGCCTTGGAATGCCTTCAAGCAAAAGCACAACAAATCTGGAGTGCAAAGAATACGCCCGCTTGGGTGGGGAAATCGGCCAATTGCTCAGGCAGTTGGCAAGGCGAGCTTGAAGAAGGGTGATGCAGAGGGTGCGGTGGAACTTGCTTTTGCGGAGTTGCTGAATACGCCGGAACCGCACGAATTTCTCTCGGCTTTTGTTGATGCAGCACTGGCAATGAACAAGATCCCCACTATCATCATCGACGAAGCCAACCAGGCTTTTCCGAACGGAGAGAGCAGTTCCAAGAGAGAAGCAGCCTCCCGGGCCCTTGCCACCTTTGTGGCAACAACAAAAGAACAATGCCAGGCTTGCGTCATCTTGGCTGCCTCCGATTACGCCTTCCCATACGGTTTGGCAACACTTGGCTTCAACAAGTATGATGTCCTGGGGACAATGGTGATTCCGGAGGTTGAAATGGGGCTGATGCTGCCGAGGAGCGTCCGTAAGGTTTTGGCTAGCATAGGGTTGCCTTTGTTTGCGCCTCACTAGTGAGTTTGAAAGTCACACGCGTGACTCCAAAAAGGATGATGGAGGTCGATGTCTGAGTTTGTTTTGCTTGCGCTGCCAGGAGTTCTATATGAACTTCGGCGTCAACATGTATCTCTGCCACCAGGCAGTCAAGACCCTTCTTCAACAGTTCAAGCTTGGTGCAGAAAACTCCTTCGACCCCTTCAGCGTACGAGGTACCGAGTGACTGGCTGGTTTGGCCAAAGACCCGCTCACCCGTGAGCACTTGGAGAACCTTGCGCGACAGGGGTGGTCCCCCATTGAGGAAGGCAGCGCAGAAGAGGAGACGGAGAGCCAGAAGGGCGCCCGCATCATCGCCAAGAAGAACTTCGGCGGCGTCATCAACAGAGAGACGACCACCTTCTTGGACCAAGACGTGAAGGATGACATGTTCAGCAACAGAAGCACGAAACAGGTGCTCATCCCGGCCACAAGCTACCTGCGCAACTGTATCAAGGTTTACGTTGTGGCATGTGAGCCCAGCAGCTTGGAAGCAATGTGCTGAACACGTTTTTTGGCTCCATGCGAGGCATTGCACCGACTCAGTTTGGGCCTGTTAACCTCGCAAGGACTAAGAATCTGCAAGAAATGCATGCATGTCCTTGGTCAAGAGCCACTGTCAACGATGAGTGCTTGGTTTCCTTCTCGTATGGTCTCTCTTTCAGTTGCCGAACCCAAATTTGCAAAGCAAGTTGGATTTGCAGCGGTCCTCAAGCGTTGCTTTCCTCACTTTTGTTTTGTGGACCACTGCCGGTAGGTTGCCCTTGAATAGCTGCAAGCAAAGCTGGGCCGATCATGTTCTTTTCAAGCAAATAATATCTCAAAGCTCAAAGTAGATTTCCCCTACAATCCATGCGCTGGATCATTCATTTGGCGCTGTCAGACCAACGCCCTACACATCATTTCTTGCCAGTTCTTGTACTTACCCCTGGGATTGGATTGTTGCTTTCTAGTTGGATGTATTCAAGCTTGATTTCGGAGCTTTTCCAGTTTCAGGGCCAGTGGAAACCAATAGGATTGTCGCCTGCAAGGCAGTGCTGCGGTGTGGGTCTGTCAGCTGGGCAGCCCTGCCTGGGCCTTACCAGCAGTGTGCAGTCTTGCCTGCCCTGCGTTCATGTTCGAGAAAGACTGTCAAAGGGTCGACTGAACCGGATTGCAGTGCTTGTGCGTTGCAAGGACGGCAAGCCTGAGACCGTTGGCAGCGCGTTCAAAATCACTGCTAGTGTTTCAGATGCCCACGCCTCAGCTGCGCCACTTTGCGAAGGATCTGCCTCAGCTTTGTGTTGCCTTCGGAAATGCTGCTTCATGCTTCGCGTGGATGTCAGGTGGATGATCTGAAAGAAGCCCTGCGCTCAGAAGCAGTTTCTTTGGCTCCTTGTCCGTTCTGGTTTGACACCGTTGTCATACTCTGATAGCTTGAGGCCATCAAGCAGAAGAAGCCAAATACAGTGTCTTGTGACGCAGATGAACTGGACATATACAGCCGGAAGGAGAGCTTTGCATGTCAAAGCGCACCCCATTTGTTCCATTCCCCACACCTCACCCCTTGCTGTCTCTCAGCTGGACTTTGCAGGACGGCGGCTGGGTCAAGGAAACAAGGATGTCATCAAGTCTGCGCAACACAGATGAGCCCAGCACTTGGTTCCGATGCCTTTCAACTTTGGGTTGTGCCGTCGCCCAGCTCTCAGGGCAGACTGCTACGGCTTCATGTTGCCAGCTGGAGCTGCTGGAGCCACATAGTTTGAGGCACCTGCCTCAGCGCAGCAGTCTTCTACACTTGTGAGCTTGCGTCGTTAACAGGCTACTGCTATGGTCACTGTTCTCGGCTGAGGCAATGCTGGGGCACAACGTTTCACCTCGTACAGGAACAAAAAAGTGCAGTCGCAGGCACAGTTGTTTCGTTGCAGTGCGACTTTGCTTGACTCTAGAAGGGTAAGGGAGGTAAATGTTCACACTTTTGAACATCAGGCTGCGGTGTTCAAGTCAAGCCGGGAATGCCTGCAACGGGTACAGGACCAGCAACAGTTGCCGGCGCTGGTCAACAGCTGTTTCACCGAGGTATTCCTCCCTGTGCCAAAGCGCGCGGATGCAGTACCAAGCCGTTTGAAGAAGTGTGGGGGAAAGGATTGCTCTCGTGGCTTGCCAGTTTGATCTTTTTGAGGCAACTTGTGCACAAGTGTTTGATGCTATTTGTTGAGAGCGGCCTCAGAGAAGTTGAACAGCAGCGGACAAAAAATCACGCCTACCAGCGCCAGTGCTAATGAGCATCATTGCAGAACGCGGACCAACAGCATGGGAGAAACGCATGGAGCAACAATGTCAGTACTTCTAGGATGTCATGAAGCGCCAATGGCTGAAGCTGGTTTTTTTTCTGCTGACTGTGAACCATTTCACCAGCCAAGTTCTCTCTCTCGGCTTTCTTGGAGCAAGGAGAGAGGCGGGTGTTACGATGAAGAACCATGTGATTGTCAGGGCTGACACGTTCGCTGGAGTGGGGGCAGCTGCAGCGAGTGCAAGTTTGGCAGAGTACCTCACAAGAGCCATGAAGTATTTTCAGACATCATTCGGTGCTGTTCCATTCTTGGAGCTGGGTGGCGAGGTCAGGGCTCATGCTGAGCAGTTGGCCAACAAGCTCCAGCAGGTGAATTACGTGGTTTGGAACAATTCAGTCAAACCTCCAATCATTCCTCGCGTCACCTCAGTACAGCAGCCAATTACGGACACTGCATTTGAGCAACTTATGATAGCTGTTTTGAAGGACAGCAAACCTAATGGTTGCTCAGTGGTGCACGCAGAACCCGGAATTGGGAAATCAGTGGCAACAGCACTAGCGGTACAAAGACAGACCTCAAAGTTTGCAATTCAGGTCTTGTTGCAGGGGGATTTTGCTAAGAATGTCCGGGACTTTTTCCGTGTGTCGGACCCTGCAGTAGCTACAGATGTTGCTTGGGCCCTTTTCCCTCTCCTGAAAAGGCAGGGCATCCGCTTGCAGATCATTTTCGACAATACCTTTGATGGTGGCGTCGGGATCGAGCGCAGTACTTTCATGGACCTCATTCGAGCTGCATTTGCGCATGGCCACCACTTCATAGTGGTTGTTCAATCCACGGAAGCAGCCAACCAGGTTGCCGACCTCAATGGAGCACGGACTCGGCAAGCACCGCAGCAGCACGAGGAAGAGCGTGTCTACCGGTGGGATCAAGAGCAGGCGAAAATGTACTTGGAGAGGGGCAAAGAGCAGCAGTTGGAGGGGCAGTTCATCGAAGAGGTTCTGAACATGGCCCAAGTTCCCGATGACTTTGGGCGTTGGAAACCGGTCGACATCGACGAGTATTTGCAGACTGGTCGCGTTCCAAGCGCCCCACGCCGAGCAGGGCAAGGCGCAAGCCTGAAATAGCTCAAACGCGCTATGTTGATATATGGTAAACCTCCAACCGCCGCTTCCCCTCTTTGATTTCAAACACCATGTTTTTTCGTTTGGCGCTGTCAGACCAACTCCCCTCCACATCATTTCTTGCTGTTCTTGTTCAGTGGCCTTCGGATGGGAAGTACTTGTTGCTTTCCAGTTGAATGTATCGACGGTCTATCTGAAGCTTGATTTTGATTTTTCAACACCAGTTTTCAAGTCAATGAAAGCCCAACGGGCGCACTCATACACGTTGCTTTGCTCAGATTTGTCGCCTCAAGGCCGTGGCCGGCCTCGCAACCATAACAAACCGCTGGGCGGTGTGGGTCTGCAGCTGGGCAGTACCTCTGGCCTGGGCCTTACCAGCAGCTGTGGGCTGTGTGGGCAGTCTTGCCTGCCCTGCGTTCATAGTCCAAGACACACTGTCAAAGGTTCGAACAGAAGCCGGATTGCAGTGCTTGTGCGTTGCAAGGACGGCAAGCCTGAGACCGTTGGCAGCGCGTTCAAAATCACTGCTAGTGTTTCAGATGCCCACGCCTCAGCTGCGCCGCTTTGCGAAGGATCTGCCTCAGCTTTGTGTTGCCTTCGGAAATGCTGCTTCATGCTTCGCGTGGATGTCAGGTGGATGACTTGAAGAAGACCCCGCGCTTGAAAGGGCTCAAGCCGAATTTCGCTCATCCTGTCTTGGAGCTGTTTGCAGAAGGGCGATGACAAAGATGGAGGGTTTGAGTGATTGTCAGGCAATCAAAGCGGAAGAGGAGTTGACCATTGCTGCGTCCAAGATCGACATTTACAGCAAAAAGGAGAGCTTTGCATGTCAAAGCGCACCCCATTTGTTCCATTCCCCACACCTCACCCCTTGCTGTCTCTCAGCTGGACTTTGCAGGACGGCGGCTGGCTCAAAGAAGATGAAGAATCAGCCGTCAACCGTGGCAAATCCAAGCCCAGCACTTGGTTCCGATGCCTTTCAATTTGGAGGGCTATTTATTTTAGGTTTTTTTTTGCCCGCTTTTTTTTTTTTGGATCCGCTGTGTGGCTTTTGGCGTTTTGGCTTTTGGGCTTCTGGCTTCCTGGCTTCTGGCTTCTTGGCTTCCTGGCCTCTTGGCTTCTTGGCTTTTCGGCTTCTGGCTTCTCCGGGTTCTTGGCTTCTGGCTTCTCTGGCTTTTTGGCTTTTCGCTTCCTCGCTTCAAATTGTCCTTGATGTTTTACTGTAGCTTCTTGGCTTTTCGGATTTTGTCTTTGTAGCTTTGTTGCTGTTGACTTTTTTGGTTGGTGCCGTGGCTGTTTGGCTTCCTGGTTTCCCACCAACATACATGATTTATCATCCTTCCCAACATCATGGTTGGGCTGCCTCCCCCCCAACCCCCCCGCTTTTATTACACCCACTTTTAAAGTACCCGGTCCTGAATCATCACCCTTCAAAACATCATGGGGGAGGCTCAAAACCATGGTAAATACCGGTGTTTTGGCACCCCTGACAAATACACGCAAATCCATCATGCGGGGGCTGCCGCCCTCCCCCAAAAAATGGAGAAAAGGGGGGGCCTGGGGGAAAGAGGGAGGAGTGTAGGGGTTATTGGGTCAAATGTTGTTATCCAACGTTTTAACACCCTTGTTTGATTTCATCCTATATTTTGTTGTAGGGTGTTAGGGGTGGATTTTCTGGGGGCCGACATTTTTTTAATTGAAAGAGTTAGCCCTTTTAGTAGTTATTTTGTTCTGGGGTGTTGGTGGTTCATTTGTTTATTCCTATTCTTGTTCAAAGTCACTTGTTGTTTCCATGTAATCTCTCACAGTATCGTTATTGTTTTCTTGACCTTTCACTCTTAGTTGGTGCTTACTTGTTTGTTGGTGTTTTTTCATTCTGTATTTTCCTACCAAGCATTTACATAAAGGACATTCTACTTTCAATTGGTTATAGTCTTTCTGTTTTTCATTTATGTCTTCTTTGTTCTTTTCTCTATATTCTTTTGATTTTTGCTTTATTTCGTCTTTATGCTTTTCACGATAAATCTTGTTCTTTTCCAGTATAGTGTCTTTGTTATTCTCTCTATATGTCTTTTTCTTCTCTACAATCTGCTCTTTGTTGTTTTCGTAATACTCCTTTGACTTTTGCTGTATTTGTTCTTTGTGTGCTTCTCTATACCGTTGTTTGCTCTCCAAGCATACATTACATTGTTTTCTTCCTTCGTTGAACTTTTCTAACAATTGAAAGACTTTACATTTGGAACATTGCTTTTTGTCTGTCATTGGTCTCTATATGTTTAAGGGGTTATTTATTTAGATGAGTTTAAGGGGTTTTATAGGTTAAAAGTTCAGTATAATTATAACATATAAGATTTTACATGTTATTATTATATTATGATTATAATTTCAGTTCAGGATAATAATCTAATTGGTTTGTCTTACTTCTTTCATACATCATTTTAAAAATAATATTAACATCTCTCAATGTATTTTGAATATTAAACTTTTTACTTTCAATAAATAATTTGATATTTTCTTTAACATCTTCCCCTTTCTCTTGACTATAGCCCAACATCCATAATATATCATCAATCATTTCATATTTTCTTACTGATTTTAAGAAACTGTTTAACACAATTGTAAGGTGGTATTTTATTTATAGTTAGAAATATTAAAATCTCATCTTCTACATTTCTATTATTTATTCTTTTTATTTCCAACAGACATTTGATTAAAAATTGATTATCTCTCCAAGTTTTACAATTTTCACATTCGTCTTCTTCACCATCCATTGAATAATTAATAATATTATTCACTATTTCATTAGGTAAACTCAATTTATACAATTCCATATTTTCTTTTTTGAAGTGACAACAATCATAGCATTTTTTAAGTAGTTTTGGCTAGGGGGTTGCTGGTCGGCTTTGACATTGGACGGCATGTGAAAAAAGTGAACAACAGGGTGTGTGTGTGGGAAAGGTGAGACAGGACTTCGTTTGAAGGTAGGCTACTGCCACTTTTGCGGGTAGGCTACCGCCACTTTTGCGGGTAGGCTACCGCCAGTTTTGTAGGTAGGCTACCGCCAGTTTTGTAGGTAGGCTACCGCCAGTTTTGTAGGTAGGCTACTGCCAGTTTTGTAGGTAGGCTACCGCCAGTTTTGTAGGTAGGCTACTACCATCCTGTTTCAACTAACGTTGTCTTTTTTTCCCTGTTGAACCCCAACAACCCCCACTAACCCACAATCCCACCAACTAACCCACTTACCCATATATACCCCATGTGTCTGTCCTGCATGTCAGAAGGCACCATCCTGTATATCTTCACGCTGGGATGGGCGGGAAGGAAGGGCGGGATGGTTTAACAAACA